TTTTCTATGTTATAACACAGCTTTGTACTTTCTTACTTGAGAATTGTCGTGAGTAGAGAAGGCTCAGCCGTAACCCTCAACAATGTAACGTCAGATATCGCAACATACCTCCGTAACACGCATTACTTTTCCTCGTATAATTGGCCCAAACGTTAAGGTAATGTTAGGTTGGCCAAATTTAAATTGGCTGAGAACAAACTGAGTTTAATGTTAAAGAGACGGTGACATATAAAATAAACTCTCAATCTAGCGTTTTTATGAGTGGAACTCCGCTGATACCAACTTTTCACTAGTGCAGCTGTGGATGAAAACTGGCTAAAATCGCGCGTGCGTACTAGTCTGACCACGAAAAAGAATTTTTTTAAAAAATGACCTCTTTCGGATTTGTGTTTCAGTGCATTTTCGTAAAATAAAAATAATAATAACATATACTATCTACAAGGCACTAATGAGGTTCAGACATAAATTATGAAATACTCAGCAAACTGATCTTCGACACAGCACTTCATGCAAATTGCTTAACTATAGCACAGCTTTCACTCGAAAGAAAAAAAATCACAATAATAATAATAATAATAATAATAATCAATATTGCTATTTTCATCAGCACTTTAAAATAAAAATATTTTAAAAAAAATTAACAAGACTGCATAAAGTATACAAAGTGCATGAACCTACCAAAAAGAATTAAAACAATTATGTCAACACTAAAATTAAAAAAATTACCTAGACTACTTAAATCGTAAAAAACTGCATATAACCTACTAAAAACGAGATTAAAACGCACGTAAAATGAAATGAATGATGATAAAAAAAAATGAAAGTCGAAAACGATAAAAAAACTAACTTTACCTGTAAATCGCTGCTGCACACAAATTACTACTGGCTAGGCCCTCTTCCCAATAACTCTGAAAAGAATGAAATGCTTCTCCATCGGCTCCACTTCTTCGAAATCGAAATAAAGCTTTGAAGCTGTTAACCAGCACCAAAAGTGATTTCATCAACCGTACTTGAAGCACGAACACTGCAAGCGAGTACTGGATATATGATTGGTTTAGTTATGATTGGTTACTCATGATATTTACTTGATTTTGATTGGTTTTGACGCAGGTGCAATGCAAAATAGTCACATTTTATTCCACTGTAATCTCTAAATTGCCATCTACAAACCTTAACCCTCAAAGTACTTTACAATGAGCGACGAAATAACCTTCGAACTTTTGAATTTGAGCGTGGATTATTTGTTTGCCGTTGTAACTTTTTCTCACTAATTTCAAAATAATTTTTCATTTACTTATTTCTGCTGGTGTCCTGTGTTCTTCTGACTTCATCTGTGACAAACAGACTGACTGTAGAATAAAAATCGAATATGATGTACCCTTTTACTTTTTTATTTAATTACTTTTTTGCATGTCGTCATTGTTATTATACTCGAATCTCTGTATATTAGTTTGTTGCGAAATAAAGGCGTCATTAAAGTGATGGGAATTCGCAGATGTGGTTTGAAGAAAATGGAAGACTTTTCCATTAATATCTTATCTAACAATGTCAAAATTAAAAGGCTTAGTTTAATTGATCCCACTTCCTGTAGAGATGGATTTAGTTTCAACTGCAATTGTTCTCTTTTCAAACAACAGTAAGTACGTGTTTAACGTAACATCTCTCATGACAGTTATTATGTATTGCTGACATAAGAAGAGGGAAAGATTTGCACACTGTCAAAAAGTCTGTAAAAGGTCCAGTTTTTCCAGAAGTTGGTTTAACAAAATATCGCTGATTATATCCTCTTTCGCAGCGACGATTGCAAGTGTTTCAATTTTCCCTTTTGTCACATTTCGCTAAAACAGTAAATACTGACTAGTTAGGGTTCACTTAAAGGTTGCATACAACCTGGGAAAATATTTTTCTATGTTTTCGATCACTTAATAGAAAACATTACATATGTGTGGGTTCTTGTGCGATAAATAGGTATTTATGCTAACAGAGACTAAAATCGTCTTCATTTTTTTTTCTCTTCATTTGTAAATAATTATAAACTAGAAATACACCGAATATGCAAGTTGATTTGAACATTTATACAGCAGACATATACCCCTTGGAAGAAAGCTTTGGATTAGATTTCTTCTTTTAATTTAGGAAAACGAATTGCTTTTAGCAATTCCCCCATAAAAATTCTATCCTACTGGCGATTAAGAGAAAGATAATAACACAGTGTAGCATATATAAAATTTGATAAGGAACACGGTAAACCAAATATTCTAATGCGACTTTTCGTGAGAGTTCTGCTATATTTTTTGATCAGTGATCATTGTGATACGATCGAATTTGTCCCAAAAACTAAGGGTCCTCGAACTTAGTTGATAGGTTTGCGTGTAAAAGTAACGTTTACAGGTACATTTTATTTGTTTGTTCCAGGCTTGAGTCTCTACGCACCGCTTAACAAAAGCGGTAGAACTGCATCAAAATTCGAGCAGGCTCGCTATGAACGATAATTTTTTTCTCAGAAAACGTTGCTATGAAATCGCCATTAAATAACTGGCGCGATTTTAAAATAGTGTCTAAAATTATAAAATTGTAAACCTCGCAGTAAAAACGCACTGATTCAATGACTTGTTCAAGGGCGGTTTTGCAGTGACCAACTTGATCGTATTCAGACCGGGGGGAGCTCCCCTCCCTAGCTAACAAGTTGAATAACTTCAAAACCGTTCAAGCTAGGACCCTAACCATCGTTTTATACTCAGATTAAGTTTTCTGTTAAAAATACCTCGATTTTACGAGTTTTAAGCAAAATGGAATACATTTAAATAATTCAAAATGGCCTCCGAGGTTCCCCGCCCCCCGGTCATAGGAATAAAAAAAAGCCCGGTTTGAACAAGACGTGATAAAGACAAAAAGGTGTGCGGGTGCGTCCAGTTTAATAAAATCAATTTTTAGTTCATAGCGTTATTACTACATTTCAACAGACGTCTAAATTTTTTAAAACAATAAAAGTAAATAGCTTGAAAAAAATACAGCGTCTACCTTGGGTGTACAGATTATAACTCTCATTATCAAAATCTTGAAACATCCTTAAAGGCAATGTCATACGAGACGATTCGCAACGGCCATTTTTATCGCAACACAGCGACGTAATGTTGGAACAATGTTGAAAGCATTCGCAGCAATGTCGCAACAATGTTGCGTCGCAGTGTTGCGCTAAAAGTTGTCGTTGCGAATCGTCTCCTGTGACATCGGAAATTCGGAATTTGTCATTAAAACAATATTAAAAAAACTGTCAGTTCAAATGTGTTATCGGTACAATCGGGGGTTTTAAGACAACTTTACTTTATGGATGATTTTAAGGGTCGTTGCACTCGGAATGTTTTGGCTAGCAATAATTAGTCGACGCTATTTTCGGAAAGTCCGTTACTTTCTGAACTAATATTGCAAAGCTAATATTTGAGACTTGAACAATCTGATCATATTAACTAATCAAAATTCATCAAACGGATGACATCTATAAACGTCCTTTCATGGTTCTTGCAAAAATAAACGGCGATTAATGCCTTAAGTCATTGCGCGTCCTTCAGTCTACAGAGGCGTATCGATTGTCCCTTTGTCTTCCTCTTCTTCTGACTCAGTTGATTTCTGCACCTGATAATAATCTTTAGACGCGTTCACGAGGTTAAAATCAAAGTATTCTACCTCCCGCAGCATGAGCTGTTCCAGCCGGGTAACTAAGTCTTCAAAACTTGGCCGCTCATCGTGGTTTTCTTCCCAACAAGCTGTCATCAATGAGTACCTGCAATAGGTTCATATTCAGGTTTACATTACACCATTGATATTACAAATGACAAAAATTAAAAATAACATATTTCTAAGTATACAATTAAACGCAGTTTTAACGTGTGTGGCGCCAAGGAAGCTTTTGTGTTCGAGTTGCCCACCCACTTTCGTTGGAATAGCCAAAAAAAACCCAAAACCTAACATATTTTATTCAATGATGAGATGAAATTTTTTTTTTTAATGATTTATTCGGTGCTGGGTACGATCGGCTCGCCACATTAAACTGCGGTATAAGATTCCGGCCAGGCTTTAAAGACCCTGCTCACTCAACTAAGCAAACGTTTTTGACACTTCTCTTAGTCTATGCAACAACATTTTCTCTAGTTCAAAAGATATAATAGAGAGGAGAAGTCGTTACGTCTCATTGCTATGGTCTACTATTGCTGCATCTCAACAAACCGTGTTCCTGCAAATATGGCGGCCGTGTAGATATTTTCGTAGATGAGCCGAGATCGGATAATCGGAGAGAGACAAACACGTTGAGTTGTTAAGAGGTTAAGATTAGCAAAACAACAACTTTGCGCGTGCTGCACACTTTTCCGTCCTCTGCACACTTCTTTGCCGTCACAGCAGGACTACAACGTGAATTGCCTGATTTCAAGGTTTATCGACTACGTGTACATATGAATTTCTCTTTCTCTTTTTTAACTTGGATATTTTTGTTAAGAGTCCAACTCCAGGAGATTTAGGCTACATTAGACAAAGTGAGCGAGTAGAGTTAATCGCGCTGAAGTTTCATTTTTAAGTGACGTCGCGTTATCTTAAACTTCCTATTCAAGATTTAATTGTTGAGATCCAGAAATTTTTCTACCATGGTAACGTGACGTCTATTGTGGTCTGCAAGAGAGGATGGGAAGTTTTATCATGAAAAATGAAAGGTAAAAGACATTATTCATTACCCGAGGGGAAGCAAGGCTATCTTTGTGTAAAACCAACCCTGGCTAACACTTAAATTTGTAATTGTCTATCTCTCAAACAAGCAATTAACAAGAAAAGATTGTACAAACAATATACTGCTATTGATCACCAGCGGTAAGCAGTTGAAACGTTGCGATCAATACTATTAGTACTAGACTGACAACGAATGATATCTTCCAGAATACAAATAACAAAATTGCTGACAGTAGGTTCCTATTGAAAACTTTGGACACTCATATCAATAAAAAGGAGGAAACTTACACATCATCAGAACACAAATCAGGTTTCTCCATTCTGTAACCAGATCTCAGAAGCCTCACCAGTTCCGCGTTACTCAATAATGGATAAGGTGTGCCACCTAGAAGGTTAATGAGCGGCTGGAATAAGATAATTTGCGAGATCCGCCAAAACAGAATTTCTCTGATCGATGTTTAAAAACAGAATGATTTTACCACCTCTTCCTTATAATTGGTTGTTATTCAAAATGCACTTAGACTTATCAAAGGGGGCAGACGGCAAATTGTTGTTGCTTGACATATCAGTAAGTCGCAACTGTTCATCAGTAGGATACCTGCTTGAGATGCTTGCGTCTTGTACGCAGTTTAACAATATCCCAGTTTCTTTTATGCATGGTTTCGAGTGAGCACCTTCTTCACTGCAAAAGTCGAACACTTGAGGCCAAATGCTAAGAAAAATCTTTCTTCAGTAGCCGTAAGAAACTTAAGTTAATACATACCAATAGTTGCAACTTCCCACAAGACAATTCCGAAGGACCAACTAAGAAATAAAAAATACGTAAATGATCGGAAGACGGAAATACGAGGAATTTTAACAACTACAATCTTAAAAATGTGTTGAGTATTTTGCGCTTTCTTCCTGGAAGGAAACGATCTCGCGGATTTGGCATCGCAATGAACGCTTTCCCTACCTCACTACCCTTATTTGACTTTTTTTTTTTAGGGGGGGACTAGTTCTTATAATCTTGAGTGCTTTAAATATGTTTAATTCAAAATTAGACATAACGCCATTTTTCTCAACGTTTAATGTTATTTCCAAGATTGAAACTTTCAATTCTCCTGCTTCATCAGTTTCCTCGATAATGGTAATATTAACCTTTTTGCATGCAGTTTTGATGTATAACTTAAATTCTATGTAACACGTGAGAACTATACTTAACTTAACTATTCTACTTACATATCACTCTTGACTGTGAAAACCTGCTCGAAAATTGATTCGGGAGCCATCCACTTGATTGGAAGTTTCTTTTGGTTTTTAATTTCGTATATGTCGCGATAAACCTGCCTCATCAATCCGAAGTCTGCAATTTTAAGAAGCTTTCCATGTCCCACTAAAACGTTTCGCGCTGCCAGGTCCCTGTGCACCAGGCCCTTTTGAGAGAGAAAATCCTGCCAACAAGACAAAGAACAACGACTTTTTGTCAAGTTAGTTGCTTTGCAATGACGATAAATTCTGAATGGGCAAAACAGACACGTTTTCGACGGTTCTTTCTACTGCGATCATGGTCATATTCGTATCTTTATCCGCAGTTCAAAATATGATTCATTTCGGACTTTTCAATCCATATCATTTCCACCATCGGGTATATTACGAACTTACAATGGCTTCTCTCCAGTTGACCTGATTTGTTTAACTGATAGAGTGTCGCGTCCGGCCATTGCAAATGTCAGGTTTAGATTCCCGGTCAACCCTGAATTTTTTAAGGTTTTTTTCAACTTCAATTTTGAAGGTGCTATACAGACTCCTTTTTCAACCGCTTAGGTTTGTTCATTCTACAACGAAGATTATGTTCACTTTTCTTTTCTTTATCCGCACTTCAAAATATGATTCATTTCATTTATTTCAATTCAAGTTTCCTGAAGCTTAATAAAAACGTGAGAAAGTGCCATAAAAGTATTCCCATTTGTAATGGAATAGCACTTACCTACAAGTAGTCTGAGAAAACAGGCGACATTTCGCGACGCCAACACTGGTTTCCCCGCGAAATGTCGTCTGAGAAACGAGCGCAGAAATTCCATACTGATGACGCGTCACTACCCAGATCTGGATAGTGCTTCTAATTGGTCGTGCCGCTCGTGAAATTTGCTTCAACAAATCAGAAGCACTACATATACCCAGATCTGGGTAGTGACGCGTCATCAGTCTGGAATTTCTGCACTCGTTTCTCAGACGTCATTTCGCGGGCAAACCAGTGGTGGAGTGGTGAAAAGTTGGCTTTTTTCTGAGGCTACCACTTACCATGCCTCGAGCTATCTGCCAGGCAAAAGACATGAGGTCAGATGGATAAAACGACTCACAGTCCTCATCACATTCATCATCTTTTTCACTATCTGTAACATCGCCTTCCTCTTCAGACTCAGAGAGGATTTCATAGGGTACATGCACTTCTTCTTCCTCCAAATCAGACTGCTTGTCTAGTTCAAAGCTGGTGGAAAATGCTCTGTTTTGGTGCACTACAATCATTTCGTGGTCATCCTTAGCACCAGCCTTCAATAAAATCGATTGCAAGTAGAATTAGGCACAGTGGTTTTACAAGGTCAAGCCTAGATGGCATTCATGTAGCGTACTGTACTCTTAAGAATTCGTCCATTTTTTTTCGTTTGTTTGGGCACCAATGGGCCTAATTTGCATTAGAACATCCTGGTACTTTGGGCTCATTGACCACTGACCGCAAGGTGTTCTTGTGGGTTTCCTAAGCTTGACGTTTGAGACCGCAATTTGCAAGTGACGCGATTTAAGTAATTTACACATGCATGGGTCAAAACTCGCGGACACGTTTTGACGATTGCTTTAAAAGTCATTTACAGAGACACAGTCTCACCGTAAATTGATTTCAAGCAGTTTAAAAAATAGTGCCTATATGAGGGTAACACCAGCCTGAGCAACAGGCGTTTGTGGGGTAAAGGAAAAAGTGAAGGAGGGAACGGGGGGTGAATTTAATGGGAGAAAACTGCCTCCTAGTCTCCCCTTCCCTTTTTTTATGTTTCCTTTCCCTTATCACATAAGGAGGGCCTGATACTTTGGTATGGATAACACAATGAATACTGAAGCAATAGAAACAAATGCATGTGCCGACAGTCAAACATTAATCCCGGCCAACTGGCCACAAGCAAACCCTTTGTCTCTTTACCATGAGGAGACAGCAGCTCAGGCATCGACCTGCAGTGTTTGAAGTGAAAAAGCTTACCATATCATAGAAAACATATGACGTCCTTTCAATGGCAGTTAAAGTAGCTCTGTCTCCTGAAGTTTCCATATTTGCACATATCTAACAAAATGAGGAAGTTAAGGGACGTTAAGTTAATATGATTCACAAGAATAAGTTTACTGTGGGTGACTTTCAGATGACTGACCAGGTGAACAAGTTTATAAAATTGTCAATATTAGCTTCTTAAGGTCATAGTGACTTGAAACTGCTGTTCGTTGTTTCAAGGCGCGATTTGATCCGTCAATCAAATCGTACTTTTTAATAGTTTCCTCCGTGATTTTGTTGAGATCACTTCGTGTGTATATAGTAAAAATATTATTATTTCAATCTCGGTGAATAGTGGCTTCAGGAATATTTACCTCGCCGCTTCGCCCCTCGGTAAATATGCAGCCACCATTCACCTCGATTTCAAAGAATTATTGTTAAATATACTAAGTTCCATCGCTCAAACCTTCATCTAAGAAGTTTGACGTTTCTTTTAATTATTATTTTTTTCAACTACTTCATCCTAAGAGAAGCAATGTCTGATAGTTTATTTCTACTGTAAATCCTCTATTAAGCGCCCCCTCTCAAATACCCCCCCCCCCCAACTCCAACCTCTCTTATAAGCCTTCCTTTTTCAGGGGAAGGAAGTAAATATAAGCACCAACCTCTTTTTTAAGCCCCCCTCCCCTCCCTTTTCTATTATTATTCACTAATAAAATGAAAGATAGTCTGTATAAATCAATCACGACAGCACTGTCGAAGTTCCTGTGGACTGTTCCAGGCGGGTTTATTCACCATCTGGAAGTTCAAATGTTTTTTTTTTGAACATCGGCTGCATGAACTCCAACTTTTGTACTTACAGCTGTAAACTTAACTTGAGCGTTTCCACTTTGCATTCTAGTTTTTTATGGAGAACTTATACCATCGTCTTTGCTAAGTTGAATAATTTCCCCGTCTCTAAGCCGTCCCCACCCCCCAGAGGTGTTTAAGGGGACTTAAACAGAGGATTTACGGTATACAATGTTTCTTGCTTCACAGTCATTATCATATATATCACAATACCCACATAGTCAAAAGAATCGGAAAGAAAAAGAAACAGCTAAGACTTTTTAACATCATCTCTACTACACATTGTATTGTAATTAACATGCCATGTACACGAGGACACTAATTAAGTTTGCTGGTGGCTTATTATGTACCTGACTTCTTTTCCGTATTAACCACTGACGCAAATCACCATGAGCGACATATTCAGTTATCAAAAGAAGTGGCTTGGTAGTGGTCCAACAGCCGAGGAAGCTCAGAACATTTTGATGTTTCTCAACTTTTTTCATGAGTTCAATCTCAGCAAGAAATTCACGTCGTCTTTCATCGGTTGCGTTATCTAACATATCAATAAGTGCAAATTTCCTTCAAAGTCAAGAAATGAGATAAGACAAACGTCCATTTTACACATTATTTTCAGTGAGATCGGATGTCAGCAAGGACGGCACCTCTGGCTGCTATTCTTAGTATGTGTGTGACCTAACTTTAACCAAACCAACCCTTGATACATGATATGAAGTAACGTGATATAAATTATATACCATATCAATGGACGTCTATACTCCTTATAAACTTTATAGGTAGAAAATTGGAGTCATTATAGTTCCCAGGGATGAAGTACAAAGGGGTAAGTCTAAAGTCACCGCCCAATGACTCAGTTATCTGAGTTGAGAAATAGTCTTCGTCGGAATCAATATTATCAAAACACTTCCATGTCACCTTAGTTTATTTGTAGTCAGGGCGGGATTCGAGCCTGCAACCACCCGCTAGCCAGACCGACGCCGTACTAGCTAAGTTTCCTAAAAACCCATCTACTTACCTACCTACCTACCTACCTGCCTACCTACCCAACTAACTGACTAACTAACTAACTAACTAACTAACTAACTAACTAACTAACTAACTTACTAACTAAATAACTACCTATCTCAACCTTTATCTCACCTACCTCCCTCTACCTTCCTATTTTCCTATCTACCCACCTACCAACCAACCAACCAACCTACTTACCAACTTGCCCACCTACCTACCTAACAACCTACCAACCTACCTACCATATCAAACAACCAACCAAACAGCCTTCCTACTTACCTATCAGTACCCACCTACCTACTACCAACCACCAACTACCAACCAAGTAACCAACCTTCCTACTTATCTATCTACCCAACTACCTAATCCACTTACTTACCTACCCACCCACCTCCTTCTCCACCTACCAACAAACCTTCCTACCTACCTATCTACAGCGGAACCTCGATGTAACGAACCTCTATATAACGAAGTCCTCGGTATAACGAACGACTGATTTTCTTTACCCCAGTGATAGTAAAATATACGAAAAAGAACCTCGAAATAACGAAACCTCGTTATCGCGAACTAATTTTGCCATTCCCTTGGCCCTTCGTTACATCGAGGTTCCACTGTACCTACCGTACCTACCTACCCACCTAAAGGCGTCGGTCTGCTGTTGGTAATAACTGAATCTTAAAGTACTGAAGCCTTAGATATGAACGGATTGCGACTGAAGCGAGCTGTGTTTAATTAAAAGATCTAAATTAAGACTGGCCAAATTTTGGGGGTTTCTATTCCACACTCCTTAGGCATAGTCGAGGAGATGTTTTCCTTTGTAATTTCTCGACCTTAGCAAAGACCTTGTCCTTTTAGGCCAGCTTTGATGCGTAGTTCGTATTTGAATAAAGCCCTAACCTGAAAGAATGCATCATATAAAAACACTCACACCCACCATGGAGCTCTTTAACAGCAACAAATAGTTTCCTTTTCGTTCTTGAAGAGTCGAGCTGACATTTAAAAAAGTCCAAGGCATCTTGATGCAGAGCTTTGTGAACCTTTCCGAAAGCCCCTTCTCCCAACTCTTCAATAAACGATGTCCTTATTGGAGGTACTTCGCAAATCTCAAGGACCTTTACATCGTTGACTGTCCTAACAAACATAGTACAACGGAAGCCAGTTATACGACTACCCTGTTATTTATATTATGGCTACCTTTAATATTTTTTACTGGCGAACGAAAGAAATGAGCTTTACTTGAAGTCTCAAGAGGTTACTCGGCTTAACAAACAGTCGAGTTGTTGGTAAGACAAAATAAACAAAGAAAGAAAGAAAGATATAACGACGTAAGGCTTTTACTTGAAAAAGCTTTCTTAGTGGTATGTGCATGATAACCAACAGATTGGTGGCAAGAATTATTCATTATTTGATATTCTCTTTTTGTCATCACGACATAGTTTAGCAAAGTTTTAATAATCGTAATCTGTTACTGCCACGTGGCTAAGACTGCCTCGTTAGTGACGAATTTTCATGGCCTAACCATGGTCGTATCCCGGGGGTACTAAAACATTTTTTTGCAGCTGTATTTCGGTATCCCATTCTAGACTATGCCCCAAACTCTTTACCTGTACCCCAAGCATTCTATGGATCAAAAACTCTAGTTCCTCAGAGTCTTATTGACCATTTTCCCAAAAATGATACTCTATACTGGACCAAAATCCCTCCTATTTCTATACCCTATCGTAGGTAAAACTGCAAGGAAATTCTACTCTTCACAGCGGTTCGTTCCTCCCCCGGCCCGGGGATCTTATTAACAGGGTTTCACTCTATTTACAAAATTTAAGACCACAACTAGTTTTTATAGTCAAAAAACTGATAAATCATCACACGATGAAACACGTTGAATCATCCAATAAGAAGCTGATCGAATCAATTTCACCCCTTATCGGACTGTCCTCCCATTGGTGACAGAAAAATAACAGTAAGGGAGGTGTGTCCACAAGGAAAATCACATTATCCCATCATTACTTGATATTATACAAGGGAGAGATAATGCAGTTGTCGTTGTTTTTATTTACACCGGGGCATGTAGCTCTTTGAAGAGAAATTCAGATACCTCTTAACACGACGCCTGGTCTTTTTCTTTCTCTTGCAATACCTTATGTAAGTGACCACAGTTACTACCAGGGCAGCGAAGGACACCACACAGGCAACGATGATGAAAAGATTCCGGTTATCGTCTTGCGGAAGCCCTACATGTAAAGACGTCGACACAAACGGAGATTAAGCAACTTTCGGACCTCCTTAGAGCTGAATGATAAGAAGAAGTTTCAATCACATTTGACTGTTCAAACTGACCACATTTAATTGTTGTAACTGTTGTAAGTCACTGACAATTCATAAAACTGGCTATCTATACCTGATGACGGACTGCTCCAAGGTTCAGGATTACCTCCCGTCCTTATTGGCCATGCATTTGGGTCAGTCTCGCTGCTTCCAAGCGCGTTCCAGGCTTTTACCTTAAATTCGTAAGATGTTGTACAGTCGAGGGACAACTCTAGCTGGTTTACTTCAGCGTCTGTCGTATTTATCGTGGTCCACTTCCTGAAAAGTCCTTCTGATTCCACTTTTGAATAATGTACAGTGTAGAAAAGAATCGGACAGCCACTAGATGGAGGCTTAGCCCACTTCAACGTGACATTACAGCCAGGCGTGCTTGTCTCCGTATTGATTATTTCCGGTATTTCAGGACGATCTGTAGTTTAATATAAAATTTAAACTTAGTCCACTAAGAATCTTAATAGTGGTGATATATTACTTTTTGTTCACTTAGACTGTTCTCTGGAATGCTTCCGTGATCAAGTACCATATCACTGCATACAAAGTCAGGCTCGTATCTTCAGCTATTGCGAAATCGCGTTTAATAGGCCTATAGTAGCTTCCTTTATCAGCCAAAAAAAGAGAAAGGAACTGTGCTCGAAGAACAGTCCGTTTCAAGGCCGAGGGCCGGCAGGGGCCTTCCTGGCCATTTGGAACAAACTCAGGATCAGGGTTTAATGAAGCATGATACATGGGCTTGCTACAAGCCTTCGGGCCGGAGATTTTCAGACTATCATGGATTTTTTCTTTTGGTATGCACGTGAATCCTGGCTCACAGGTAGCTACAATCCTGGGGAGGCACTTTGTCGACTCATTATGGCTCTTGGTCGACTTCAACTTGGATCAAGAATCATGATGCCTTGTAAATGTTTAGAGCTATTATATTAAGTTTCTTTTTTAGCCTTTTTAAAAAGCTACATGGAAACGGACACAACTGTTTCAAACTTTGCGCAACAACTCCCATGCCAACAACACGCAACGATGGAAAACAGGGTGTGCAAACGGAAGCAACATGTCACATCCAACATTGCTATATAGCTGGAAATTTTTCTCAACAGCTTGCGCTCTCATTGGTTAATTCGAAGTCACTTGACATGTAACCATGAAACTGTTCCCCGCCAAAATCTCTGAGCAGGAAACGTTGCAAAGTCAGAGTGTAACACTGCACTGTTACGCGAGAATGTTGACCGAAGACCGACGACTGCTCCGCCTCGGGAAACATTGAGATTCTCGGCGAAAAAAATTAACTTTTTCCCTCGGGACCAGTCATTTATTGATTAATGTTGCATTTGGGATCAGTTGTGGGCCAGCAATGTTACCTCAATTTCAACGGGGCGTAAGATGAAATTCTATCACTAGCTGGCTAATCAGTCAGCGAGAAAGTGCTGAATGAATCGTATTCGATGTAGAGATTAAGGATGATTTTTTTTTTCTAGGTTCGAGTTATTCCATAACATACCAGAGGCATTTAATGCAATAAATCCTTTTGACCAGAGGCTTGGGCCTTGCGGGTTCAGGGCTCGGACGCGAACAGGATATTTCCCGGCTTTAAGCAGACCTCTGAATTGACAGCTCCGTTTCTCGGAAGTTTTTAGACAATTATTCCAGGTATAATTATCAAGTCCTACTTCGGCCTCGTAACTTGCTACAGGACGGGATTTGGATTCGTCAAGTGGTGGATCCCAGCTAACATTAACGACACCACACTTCTCAGGGACAATGTCTTTCAGCAACGGCGTACGAGGTTTCCCTGTACGAGGAGATATGTGCCATAGAAAACAAAAAATATAAGGGAGCATTTAAAGGAGCACAAAGTGTCAGCTCATTATCATATTTTGGTTTCGTAAATTAAAACTGAGCTAGCATTGCCAAATCTTGAAAAGCAACCAACAGTTTAAAGTTTATGGAAATTTATGGACGAAATTATGGACGAAATTAAACCAAGGACTTGGCTCCACTTTAACTTACCCTATTAAAATAACCTTGGTTGACATAAAATGTTTCATTATAGGTTTTTCGGGATCTGAACTGGCTTGATCCGGGATTCGGGTTTTGTAGAGGAGGAAAAAAGAAGGGGCAGAGAAGAAGGAAAGCTTTCACATTAGTTACTTTTTGACCTTTTCAAACATCCATAATTATTATCTTCCTACATATAAATAAGCAAATAAATACTTGTGTATCTCGAGAATTTCTAAAAACCAAAACGCCGGCAGCCCCTTTTTTGTTTTATTCTGAGGTTTTTTTTGCCTACATTAATGCAACTTTGGCTTACTTATTTTTAAATGCTATACACCGTGCAAAATAAAAATCTCAGCGATCCCCTTTCCTGGAATACACTGCATGCAATACGGACAGTAGTTTGTTTGAATTGTCATGCAATTTTGGCTTACTTATTATTAAATGCTATGCATCGTGAAAAACATAAATCTCAGCGATCCCCTTTCCTGGAATACACTGCATGCAATACGGACAGTAGTTTGTTTGAATTGTCATGCAATTTTGGCTTACTTATTATTAAATGCTATGCATCGTGCAAAATAAAAATCTCAGCGATCCCCTTTCCTGGAATACACTGCATGCAATACGGACAGTCGTTTGTTTGAATTGTCAAAATGACTTGAGCTCAATCTCTGCTCAGTAGCATTATGACTTTGAATCAGCTTATCATTCAGAGTGGCTACTGATGTTGGGTTTGAGGAAACTACTTATGGATCCTGGAGGATACTCAATATAATGGTCGGAAAACAAATCAAGTCACTATCGCCTGATGAAGACCAGTAGTAACCAGGCTGCAATCAATAACAAAGGGACTATATCGCGAGACGATCAAAGATCCCTATCAAAGTCTGTTTAATATAAATTACAGGATAATACCTTTATCCGTGAACACAGTCAGCACAGATTCCTCGTCGAAGTCACTGTGCCCTCGCTCATTCCACGCCAAGACTATAATTTTATACTCTTTGTTGCAGTCTGTCATCAGGTTATGACGATCTGTGTTATTCAAATTTTGTACTTGCCAGATTGAACTGGCTTCAGTGACCGGGTCCCTGGATTCTTTGTAATGAACAGTGTACTGTGTTATGGGGCAGCCTCCAGAGTTGGGAGTTTTCCACGACAACTTAATTCCGCAAGCAAACGGTGAAGCTTCAACAGCAAACTTTTTAGGTCTTTCTGAATGCAAAAAAATGGATATCCAAATAGAATTAGTTCCTTTTCGTGTTACTGGGATTCCATTAATTGTTTCCTCTTCATCAGATATTGTAGTACCGTTCATAAAAATTGAACCTATGTCATTCGCTGAAAGAAGGTTCAACAATTTCATGCAAACCTGAAAAATATATGTTCCCACCCCATCGGATACCGACGTCTATTATGGATCAAATATATCATTTTGCAAGGTCCAATATCTCTGATATGCTTTGAGTAGTTGCTTTTAAATGTTACAAAATGTTTTCGTATTAAACTTTTAAATTAATCATTGTAATGAATAATTTAGTAATAATAATAATAATTGATACTTATATAGCACAATTTCCATAAAAATGCTCGATTGCGCTTTTACAGAAGTTCTAATGACAATAAAAATAATTCTAAATATATAAGTATATACAAGTAAAGAACTTTTTATACTAATTTCAACTGAAATTAACTATCATAGCCGGTTGGTTCTCTTTATAAGTGTTTATATCAAAGGCAACCTTTTCCCTCGGTTCTAAAAAAAATATCCTAATTTCATATTCTAAGATTGCATGGTACTTATTTAGTTTATTGTGTGTTGGTACTTCTAACAGGTGCTCTTTGAGCCGGTTCTTCCCGTAGCTGAATTTCCCAAGGGTAGGGCATCACCTCAGGCCTCCTCACTTAACCAACCCCCACCCTCCCACCCCCACTTTAGCAAAACATTGTTGATGCATTAGTTCAGCAGAGATTGTGTATTTTCTTCACAATACATTTTGTATTATGAAACGATATGCCAAGATTATTTAAGTACAAATGATACCTGCTAAAGTCGTTATTTGTATCTTTTTCCAACTCATTTCAACTTTGCTTTTGTCGTTGGAGTGCCAGCAATGAAAGCAATAGTAATAGTAGCAGTCGCAGTATCGCACTCCTTCGAAGTTTATACCTCTTAGCCAAACCCGGTACTCTGTGTTGCTCATCAATTCTTCAAATATATACGAAGTACTTTTGGTTGCCCTAAATACGAGTCTACGAATTTCTTTATCCACCCACGAAACAACATGAATTTCCATCTCCGTTGCTATCCATTTCCATTCAGTTTTAATAGCGCGTCCACAACTCAATGATTTCACACTCAGAATTTCAGGCCCTGGAATGGATGAAAAATTAATTAGGATAATTAATTCATGTTATAGAGCGTTTCCACTCAAGTGGTCAGCAGCTATCCATTATAGTGTTAGGAACTGTTACCTCAGCGGTCTGTTGTGTTACCGATTGTTGAAAATTCTCGGTTTCACTATCACGCCATCAAAAATATAAATGCAAACCATTCAATACAGAAAGAATAGAATCTGGGAAATGAAAGAAGATGAATATACAAAACGCATTGCCAAGAATCAGGTCTGTGCAATATTTCATATGCGAGATATTAGGAAAAACGACGGAGACGCCATGTTGGTGTCCCTAGGGACACCAATATGGTCGCCGGAAACCAACAGAAACATCTGTTTTTGAGTTTTCCCACTAATGCGTGAATTCTACGCTTGAGGAACTCATAAAGATTTAGGTGCTGTAATAACTCATTAAAGCAAAAAGTCAGAACGCCGATAGTTTCTTGGTCTGAATTTTGGTGACGTCTTGTGAAAACCAGCAATAGGCATCCAGGTATCCACTCTAGAATCACTGGCTTCATGACGTCTGTCATAGAAAGAATCTTTTACACTAGCCAAGCCGAGGAGGGAATCGATTGTTGTCCGGTGCTTGCTCAGTTAGCGTATTTTATTTACATATTTTCCAACTACTTGCTCTCCATCTGTGCGATGATTCTTAACAAGTATCTTATTACATGAAATTTTCGCGACACGTTAATTTCGCGAATTTCATGATACAAAAAAAATCTCGAAATTAATTAAGTGACGCGAACAATAAGTCTCCCGAACACTACATGACGCGAAAATTAAGTGACTCACATTACGGTGTATGTCCATAATCAAGATACCTCTGAAACGTTTATAAAATCACATTTTTTACTTTCTGAGGAATTTTCAGTGTAAATGGATGTTGTGGTCAATTAACTCAAGAATAATAATTCACGTACAAGTATGAACCGCTTGTGGATATTGTGAGAACTGCTTTGTCGTTACTGTTGACATTTAGTCCCGCTGTTGCGTTTTTTTTCATTTTGACGTTATCACTCCTTTGATAAAGTCGTTTTATTTAGTTCAAAGACATGTTAAATAACCGCCGCGATGAGTTATTGTAATCCATATCCTTATTATTTTTTCTTTTCCAATTTTGTTTTACGTCATTTCCACCTCTCCCTTTTAAAAAATTTTTATTGGGACATTCTCCATCTATATGATACTGTGATTCCTATCATAAATTCAGTAACATCTGTAAACCTGAAGAAGGCTGGTATGGCCAGCCGAAATATTGTTATGAAAAACAATACACGTTGTTCTGATCAGCTTTGCAGTAGTCTTTGGACTTCTCGTTGTTGGTTAATTGTTGTACTCAAAAATGCGAAATAGAAGTGATTCAAAATATAAAATTTTCGCATGATCGTGAAATTTAAGTGTCGCGAAATATGCGCACATCCAAATCCCGAAATAAACATGTCGCGAAAATTTCATGTAATAAGGTATAGTTAGTGGCGTTACTAATGGTGATAAATAATAAAAAAGAATAGAATTAAAGAAACATAACATGTCTAGCCGGGCTCGGGAAGAATTTAGAGATTGTGCCTCGGCGACTTTCAGGGGTAAGATATTCCAATCCAACTCACACTTTTTTTTTGTCTTAACCAAGAATTTACGCAAGTGGCGCGCAGCCTCTTCCAACTAAATGATCCTGTCATGAAATGATGCGTCCACTTACATAATTGTAGAGCAGAGTATCACTCAAATACGATGATGGCTAACTTTTGTCAAAACTTTAGAATACAACATTATTTAAAGGCAACCAGCCACCCAACTGTGACGAAATTAGAAACAGGTATTAAGTACAACTAAGAAATGCTCGGAAAAGAAATCCGAGCCCCCATCGGGAATCAAACCCACGACCAGATACAGGTAGGACGCTCTAACCACTGAGCTATGGACGACTCACGTGGCCGAGCATGTCGCAGATTTTGGGGTAGCCACAGGAATTCGCATCTCGCTAGTACGCTGAACTAAAGCAAAGCACCTTAAGAAAGTGTTGTGTACACTCTCACATCCGCTAGTGACATCCGAAACAGTGACTCATCAAGTGATAAGCGTGTCGCCTGTCATATAAAGAATCTTTTACAAAAGGAGCCAAGCCAAGGAGGGAATCTAATGCTGTCCGGTGCTTACTCGGTTAGCGTTTTTTATTGATTTATTGATTTATTTATTGATTGATTGATTGATTTATTCATGTCCAGTTTTTTCAATTAAATACCGTTGACTCATACCACTCTCCAGTGATGAGTTTACGAGATGGTGTAAATGTATGAAATACGGAACTGCTGAATTAAGATTACCTTCTGAAGTAGGTGTTGTCACTGGACGCTTTGTTGCTGTAAGTGTTGTTTGTAGTGCTGTTAATCAAAATCGAATGAGATTATATCCAAAAAATGAAATAAAGAAATCGCTCATCAAGTCGTAAATTAATAATTTATCATTAGATATATTCGACAAGTGACTGTCTAAACCTCAATAAGTCAATATTTAGATTTAGGCACACTAAAGAAATCACACAAACGAAGGACAAGGAAAGGAGAAAAGGAAAGAGCGAGGAGGAAGAAAGGAGGATAAGAGAATTGAAAGCAATAATGGCTACTTAACCTTTGGAGATAGTTTCTGGCTGAAAAAAACAGTTGGACGGAAAAATAAAAGTCCATTTGGCTGTAACGTTTTCAAAAATCCACTTCAAATGAAAATACTCCCTCATCGAGCTAAACGGCCTTATGATTACAGTAAAAAAATGTGTTTCAGGTTAAATACAGTAGTAAGCTTAGAAAAGAATTCTTCCACACTAAACCACCGAATCCCTCACAACGGTACCCTTTGCGAAGTCAGCCCCTAATTAAATTTAATGTACTGTGGACAGACACTAACTTCATATTATAACTATTATTCTTTTTCGCATCAATAGGTTTCCAATGTGTATTGCAGCTTATTGCAATGGAGCCTTCGCGCACACTTTTTAATGAATGCAATAATATCTCGTACTTGATGGTCGTTTTGACTAAGTCGCAAGTTAATAAATTTTATATTGGTTTTAGTATAACGCTTTATAGTCCCTTAAAGTGTGTGTTTGAGTACTTCATTCAAGTAAAATTTCATGTTCATGAACAAAGCACAAAGAAAATCCTACCGCCAAAAAGCTTAGAAAACTTTTAGAAATTGCTACATTCCGCAAACAACTTCTTTCGCTTATCTGAAAACATAATTAGATTAAAACTACAAACCAGAGCAAAAAACGCTTTTACATTATTACTAGCTCAGTGCAGAAGACCACAAAGACAAATCACCATCAAGGTACTGCTTACAAATTGAACAATCGTTGGAGGACTTGACCTTCCACCGCATGGACCCGCTTAAGAATAGTCAGTCGCCATGGACGATCACGTGACCATATGCTAGATCAACTGACAAACGAGAACGTATTGCTATGGGTCCGCATATTTAATCATTAATTACCATATTTTTTTGTTTTTTGAGAAGCAATAGAAAAATCGGTTGCGGCACTTGATTTCCATCCACAAAGACGGATATTAAACGGAACACCGTGTCTCGGATTTGGAATAAACAATAATTCTTGAGAAAAATTCAAGCTAAAAATGAGATCGGGACGAGTTATTTAACAGTTTTACCTTTGCTGCTGTATACTTCAACCCTGAGGCAGTTCCATTTGTGCTGCTTTATCGGATGAAAGCGAATAAATCTTGTAAAGACTATTAACGGTAGTGTGTGTTGGACCACTATTCTGCTGCCACCACTCCTGTGAAATTCCTGAAGCAACAATGCATTAAAAGTCACTTCGGATACTAAAACCAAATGAAGCATAGTAAAAATATCCACTAGCTTGGATAGCAGAAAATTACACTCGAGCAAGATACGAAATTCAAGCAATTAAAGTACAATTAACTCTTACTTCTGATCTGGGTGATCCCTCAAGAAATGTAACGATAGCTTCTCCTTTAATTTAGGCAATTTTTTAATCAACATGTAATAACTGCCCAAGATGTTCAATTTCAAAGAAAACTAAGAAAGAGGTTGGAAACCTCTTATATTGCAGGCTGCGATGAAATAATCCTCTAGGTTACTTTAAATCACTAATACCGTATCTATTCGATTAAACGCCGTGGCGTTTATTTTAAAAATTTTTAGCGTTTCCGATGCGGCGTTTATTCAAGGGCGGCGTTTATTTCGAAATCACTGACAGCAGTTACTATAAATCGTTTGTAAATATTATGTAATTGAAAGGTTCCAGTGTTTCCCTTATTTTGCCGAGATAGAATCGTAAATGTCTGGATGGTGTAAATTACCAAGTTGTACCAGAAACGCATAAGGGGTTGAAACGTGTAACTCGTGTTCAATGCTCGTGAATATTCACTTTTACCATATTTGGAAACCTTAGTGACAGATATTAATTTTCAACAAAATGGCTGCCGCGTGATCACCATGCAGGTGTTTTAAGACAAGAGTTCTGCATTTCAGGGTTAAAAATACACCGTTAAAAGACAAAAAATGGAAAGAGAAAGTTCAAAAGAATGCTAAGCTTTCTTTTTGCGGAGGAAGGGAAGCTTTTCATCAAGAAATCATCCTTCGAGGAATTCAACCTTGTTTTCTTCAACCAAGGCAGTGAAGTTTTTGCTGAATTTTGAGGTACATTTTGCACTCTATGGCCGAGACAATTACGTTTTTGAAAGGGAATTTATGTATTTCTAAATGTTTCATAGACGTTTTAAATTTTTCTCTTCGGCGCTAAAGAAAAATTACAAAATGTGCCCCGATTGAGATGGATTTTGTGTTGAATTTTGCCATGTGCTCAGCCGATTTCACTTGTGTGAACGGATCCACGATCCAGATAGTGTTTTCCGAATTGCTTTAAAGGATTAACTTTTTGGATTTTGAATAAAAATTTTCAAGAAACGGCTTCTCTGTCTATTGTTTTGAGTTTGTTCATTCATAAACTTAGCTCAAAACACAATCGTGACTACAACATCGAAGCTGAATTTAAGCTTAAATGCTTCTCACTTTCATTACACGCATCTCTTTTTGCGAAGATGTCAGGTTCAGGTTTTGGACACTCTTCGATACGCAGCTAAAGAATTTTATTCGAAAATATTGTTTACTGTTTATTCTAGACTTTAAAATAAGAACTTTAAAAACCTATTTGCAGTATAAGTTCACTGTGCAGAGGGTCAACGAGGCATCGTCTTTTGAAGTGACAACTTCAAGAAGTTGCGAGGACGTCAGTGTGTTTCATAACGTTACGTTTGGCCCGGGTGGTAAGGCAATAATATATTTCTGCTCAGTGTTTTCGGTACGATTCCTGGTTTCAACCTTTGAAAGCTTTCTCGGCTTTTGGGAGTTTTTCTCCCATTTGTCGGCCATTTTTTTTAAGCAGGCGCGGGAACCTGAAGTAAAATTACATCACGTTGTTTACGAAGTTTGATTGGTCAGTTATCTTTTCTTCTCGTTCCAAATGTGGTACTTTCGAAAATGAATAATCACGAGCATCGGACAAAGCAAACATATGAGAGTTACACGTTTCAACCCCTCATGAGTTTCTGGTTGTACCGAGTTTTTTCTAATTATCCTCGAGTAAACGCCACATTCTTCTGATGAGGTGCGGCGTTTATTCGAGGGCGGCGTTTAATCGAATAAATACGGTAATTGCCTTCAATTATGAGTGAAAAGAAAAAAATGAACAATAATATCAACAGCAACAACAATAAACCAGGTCAATTTATTAAAAACTGTGTTGTCCAACCCGTGTTTAATTGTGATGGGAGAATGATACTTATACCCCCGGGGCTAGAGACTTTTCATATGTGGTTTCTGGTTTTAGTCTTTATTGTGATCGACCCGTGAAAAGCAGTCGCGCAAACCAAATCAGCTATATATCAATAAAGTTTTTAAAGTGGAGTTTAAAGCATTTTAATGATTTAAACACTATTTCACCTTAACCAGAGGTATTTTATACTACATTTTACAAGATCTGTTTCAATACTCTTTACGTGACTTTGTCATAATTTTCCTGTATTTGAAAACGTATTTTGTACCAAAACTACACTTTAAAACATTACAGTCCAACCTCTACTAACGGACACTTCCCGTTAGCGGACACCAAACCGCGGTCCCGGCCGGTAATGGGGACTTTATGATCCAACGACGCGTATTATAAATTGTCTTGTGACGAACCAACTTGCGATCTAAGCTTCTGGGTAGTCTTTGAGCAAATCGGATTTGTTGCCGTATTTTTCATTGGCTATTTGCTGAGAAATTTAGGACCATATAGGTTGTGTAATGTTTAAATGTCTAAGAAAACGTTAGATCACAAACGAGCAACAGGGAAAACATGGTCTAGCGTGAAGTTCAAGAAAAGAACCTCCTTTGCTTTTGGTAAATAACTTCTGTTATGCTGGTTACAATAGGACGTGAAGTCCCCTTTAACGGTAGCAGCAAAACCTCAAACTATTTTCCAAGCAATTAAAATAGCTTTTTAAGAGCGAGGAAATGTTTCAGCTAATGGGTCCGTATAAATTTACTTAAACTGTATTATTTAAGCAATAGACCACACTTTCTATGGGTTTACCGGCGTGATAACCCACGCGGGATGTTGGGAGAACACGAGAAAAGCTTGTAAATCACGAGCTCAAGGCGAGTGATTTACAAGCTTTTCGAGTGTTCTCCCAACATCCCAAGAGGGTTATCACGCCGGTAAACCCATAGAAAGTGTGGTCTATTGCTTTTATAAAATAACTTTTGGTAGAATGGAGTCTTTTAGGTAAAAAATATGGTTTTAGTACTGTGATCAAGTCATGTCTTCTCTCTAAAGTCATCATAAGCCAATCATGACTCACGATTTAATAGCGCTGAACTTTCTCAAAACTCAGTTCAGTCAAATAACAAACAGCAGCACTTCAAAACACGAGTTTTTGCACTCATTACATGATAACTTATGAAAGCTGTTTTACAGGAAAAGTCAACATTTATTCATGCGAAACTACAATGAAAGAATACGTTCATGGTTTGTTTACTACAGAAGTAGAAATTGAACATCAGACTGTACGCAGCTGTATTTTTTTGTGTCGATCCGTAAGAATTTCGTGCTTACAGACGGAACTGGCAGCTATTGTAATGGAGGACTTCATTGACATTTTACAAGCCGCAGTGGTTTAAGATCTGTTTTCTGGACTTTATTATGATTAAGAAATACTGCGGTAACGACGTGGCTGCATTTGCGAAGTTGTCGCATGTAACTTTATATGCACGTAAAGCGACCGATGGAAATATGTCAGTGGTGGAGAAAGGTTTCTTTGCCGTAGCCACATATTGGCGTTAATTTTTGTCGATTTGTAAAGTCAGGTGGTTTGAGGTAGGTTATGGTATCGATATCACCGAATAATTTGTGCAAATGTTGGAAAAAACCAGCCGGAAACTCTGACATCTTTCATCATCGTTGGCAGCTTGTTTACAACCTGCAGCGGCCGATTTTGTACCATATCTTGATCAGAGATCTCTTTTTGCAACAATTTCTTTCATTAAGGAATTTAATTTTGGCATAAAATAAATCAAGAATGCTAAAACTATCCGTTTTGTTGCTGGTTGGCACATGGTTAAGTTTTCCTGGAGACTTTTTACACCAGAAATTCACACAGCTGTTGTCTTTATCTGCTATTTGGCATCGTCGTGAAATGTAAACTGCTTTCCAGCTTTGTACTTTATTACTTCTAAAGCTATGGCAGTAATAAAATGTTGAAACCAACGCTTTTGATATTAAGAAGGGCTGGGTAAGTAACTTGTTCTGTTTTTTAGCCTTTCTAAAATCGTTGTTTGCAGATCAATAGCCGGTTTTGTTTATGGCTCGTGGTCCGGATGCCTTTTTCTATGGGTTTACCGGTATAATAAACCATAGGTTTTTGACCAATCAGATCACGCTTACTATCTCAGTTATTTTATAAACTTTAATTGTTAAGACATCGAGATATTTAACAATTATTCCTCGAGTCCGAATTGGTTCTGAGTCAATAGCCCATATGAAGCCGAAGGTCGAATGGGCTATTGACTCAGAGGTCATGAGGGCGAGACCAACTAGTTGGTCAAAAATATCGAGAATAATCAAATTTTAGCTATTTAAAGCTGGACTTTAGACCCTTTTTGCCGCCAAAAAGCCCGCGCTTTTCGCTACTAGTGGGCTATAACATATAGCCTAGTAGTAGCTCAACCAATCAGGACGCAGCATTGATAGTAGACCACTACTTGGGTTTTACTAAAAGTATTTTTTTGTTGTTTAAGACTTAATCTAGTTTATCCGCAGTTTATTTGGCTGCTGGAAGCATACCGCAGAAATTTTCCTTCCTAACAGATGATGATGTTTTATAATATATAGATTTAGCCAGGGCTAAAAGCGAGGCTCCCATTAGTAAATTTATAATTTAAATTAAACAATAAACTTGTATTCGAATTCCACAATTCAGTTAACTTTAGAGCACATTTATGTGACTTTTGAGGGAAAGGCTACCTGATTTTAGAGAAAAATAATTTGCAAACAGCCCAAGAGTGAACCAAATCTTACATCGAGTTGATAGCCTCATATGTACACTCAAAAACTGGTAATCATCTTTTATCACATTTAAGAGCCGTAATGGCTATTGATCACCGTAGATCAATTAGGCTTAGAAAAAAAACCAGGCCAACGTTTTGGCGTTCGACAAGTTTACTTTGCAAAATCTTGCCAACAAATCTGGGTGCGTGTAAACCAACCTTTTATACCATGGACAGAAAGCAGTATTTCACAATACAAATTGCTCTCATTCAATATTCATAAACTGTTAAAAAAATTTTCCAAAATCACCTATACGGCCATCCGGTTCTCACTTTTGTAGTGCGAGCTGTAGCGAGTGTTTGAATGAACATTAACAGAGTTACGCTCCAAGATAATAAAGAATTTATCATGTTTATTTTTTATTTGATGGTTTAACGCGCGGCATTTTGAGAACTCCTGCAAGCGATGTTCACTGAACGACTGAAAACAATCGGCATAGCGATTAAAATTGCAAGAGAGACTACTAACAATCAATAAAAGAAATATAATTCGGTGAAACATAAACAGAGACAACAATTTTCATTCAGGAAGACAAGTATTAAAGTGTCCCTAAATATCCTGAATCTTCAAGCTTCAACCTTAAGTTTGCTGAAGTTTATGTTTTAAGCCAGCTTCCCGGTGTTTGTTTTTTCAAAGACGAACTCGAGGCAAGAAAATCGCTCAAAGCTTTCTTTTCCGGCTAGAATTATAACTAAAGATTCTTTGGAACATTTTCTTTCTATTTGCGGTGAGAAACTGTCTAAAGGCTTTTTAAAGTTCTGTAAGATTATATCAAACCAGATACTCGGTGAGATCGTTGTCTCAAATCTTACAAACGCGCATAAACTAAATTCCCGCATAAACTACGCTCCACTTCATTAAATTAGATACAAAAAAAAAACATGAAATACAATAATTTCTCTGGCTTACCATTCGAGATGCAGCTCCTGAAAGTTATCAGGTAAAGCCAGTATCGCTTCAGACTTTGCAATCCTCTCACGCATCAAGCAAGGTGAAAACGAAAACGATGCCATCCGAAATCGGATTTCCGACTTTGACAAGCGACGTTTTCTCAACCAAAACCCAATAAACAAACTAGCCATGAGTAACAGAAGACTCCTGATAGCAGCTGAATTTCATTTTGTACATCCAGTGGAAAAAGACAGTTAAAAACATCACAAGTTGACACAAAACTCTGTCAGCTTCAGCTGTTAAAGTAAACAAGATTCAAGATGCTGCATAAATTTTGCGCATGAACTCACCTGTCAAATTTTGACCAATCAGAGCATAAAAATTGGACGTAGAGCGTGACCAACGCGTGACCATTGTGAGAAAACAAAAGCAACTGTCTTCCCTGCCTGTAACAGCTGGCTGAATTTTCACGTCCGAGGTCAGTTTGCAATCAAAATTTTAATTGTGCAGCACATAAACACAACATATTTCATATGAATAAAGAAAAAAAATTGAACTTGAGCCTGCGATCACTTGAAAACTAGTTTACTTGTCAGCGGATAACTTCAAAAAATCCTTGACCTCGACGGGTCGACACCTGAGCCCGCGATACGGTCAAGTGATACTGGTCAGCGGGTACTCTGTTTTGACAGCTGTCAATTGATCAAAACATTGATGTCCAATATGTGCGCATTATCAGTTTTCCTGTGCTCCCAAACTAGTAAAAGTATGAGATTGAACGTTGTTCGCGATCTAGTAAAACAGTTAACTGGTCAGCGGACAGCTTCCAAATAAATCACGTCACCTCGATGAGTTGACACATGAGCCCGCGATATGGTCATGGGATACTGGTCAGTGGCTATCCTGTTTGGACAGCTGTCAATTGACCATATTGTTAATGTCCTATATTAAAGATGTGGACTTGCCAAGACACGCCTGAGACACCCCTCCCTTCCTTTTGATAGTCTCCCCTACCCCAGCCATACAATCTGTAGACGCGTACGTACGTACGTACGTACGTACGTACGCTCGGTCAATCATGTGATAACCAAACGAAAAGAGGTTGACCATATTCCATGGGTATGGGGCTCTGTCCCACGCGCGCTTCGCGCGCGCGGGAGCCCCGCTATTAACTGTATTTTTTTAATGAACTGTGAAGTTCTCACCATGTCAGTGTCGTTTGCATCCTTGTAAGTCGTCCAGTTGTTTTCATCAGAGGAATATGACAGCTTAAAGACTGTAGTCCATTCATCGCTGTCTACGTCTCCTTGAGTAGCAACAGCACACACTTGAATTGTTGTTCCCAGATCAACTTGCAGCCAGTCAGTGGTGCTATCAGAGACACCTGTGCACCATCCATCGCCTCTGAAATCATTAAGTCGACCATAAGCGGCTTTACAACGTCCGTCATATTTAGATGAGGCTGTCATTTGATTGTCATGAATTATACGTGGATCAGAAACTCCTACAGGAATCATCGCACAACGGTCTACTGGTCCTGCAAACACGAATGAAACGCAAGGGTCTACAATTCTCTTCCGTCGTTGTTCAGTCAGTTTAATAATTGTAATATTAATAATAACAGCTGGGGTCATGGACATTGCCGTGCCAGCGGACCAAAATATCCATACTACTGAGGAGGAAAAGGTGGAAAAGTATCAAGACCTAGCTCTCGAAATTAAAGAAACCTCAAACCCACGAGAGCAGCAGTAATACCCGTCGTGATTGGTGCACTTGGAACTATCTCGGGGGAATGCAAAGGCTTGGTATAGGAGGTTGAGTCGTCTACCAGATATTTTTGGAAGCGCACAGTTGTCAGCCATCCTTGGTACTGCCCATATCTTGCGGAAAGTGTGATGTCTCTAAGCTGCGGGATTGCTGCTGAGAAATGGCTGAGAATTCTCAGGAAAAGGATCATACCATAATAATAATAATAATTGCGAAGCTTCAAGTGTTCGCGATACGCGCGCAAGTGTAGCCCCTTAAGTAAGAAAATATGGTAACCAATCCCTGTGGAAAATTTTCCAAACGTTAGCCAGTTAATTGCTCACAACTTCCAAATTTGGTCAATGCTAGCTGGTGATGAAACATAAACCGGGAGAATTGAACGAATTGATCAGAAAAGGCGAAATGTTTTAAGTGAACGGTAACAAAAGGTTAATGTTAAGTGGTGAGCAGATCAATAATTTTACTTGTACACAACCAATCACGATAAAATGTGAAGAGAGTTCTATAAATGTTTTATCACTCGATCGGTACGCTTTTTTTTGTTCTATAATTTATTTGGGACAGGCGTGGAGCCGCAACTTTTTCCCACGAAGACACGGACTAAGCTGCACATGCATTGCATTAAGCGAAGCATTGCCTACAACGAGACTTTTCTTCCTTTACTGTGCATGAGCTTCAGCATGAGCAAACCATTGTAGGTAGGAAGTCCTTTGTGGTGATGTGAGGGCCTCCTGACTAGTAATTGCTAGAATGTGGGGTGGACGGACAACGACCTCTCCAATTGTTATGGCTGCAATTTGAATTTCTTAAAGGAACGACCTAAAACATGACGAAGTATCAACTAAAAAACGTTGAATTCACACCATTGGACCGTAGACATACTCTTTGAGTACCTTTCTCGCATTTTTCTCCATAATATCCCACTGCACACGCACATTTGTAACTATCTCCGCCTTTAGTTGGTATGCAGTTCCCTCCATTACAGGGGCTGTCCCGGCATGAATCCCCTGCCGAAAAAAAGACTATTTACTATGAAATTGTTGTTTGAAAACCATTACCTCTATAAGAAACCTCAAAAAAGGTCAGTCAGCTCACGCTACGTTCCGGCTCAAAAGCGAACTTTATTTGCCACAACTCGCCAATCGTCTTGCGACACTTATTGTTTATTCTTCTATTGATTAAACTGACGTGCTGATATATATTTACTTATATCGTGGTTGAAAAAAGGGCCAATTTATGTACGATCACATGACCGAATTGTTAGTAAAACAACACGACTGAAGAGGACGCTGTGACACCGTTAAAATATTTCACTCTGCAAACTCTTTGCTCTGGGTCTATTTTGTATTTGAGAGACAATATCAGCACTCGACTCAGTGTTTCGTGAGCTGACTATAAATCTCGAAATCGGTCACAAAAACTCAGTTACATCTCTTCTGATTTTGAACCCACTTCGATATCAAATAGGACACTGTATTTAAAAATTTCACTTATTATCATATCAACAATTATCCTTGGAGGAAGTTTCAGAATACAGTTCACATACTATATATGGTATAGCGTAACTGAGAATATCTGATCTTCAAACCTAAACGATTTCCTTTGTCTTTTTGTCGTGAAAATGACTTAGAGATCAGTTATTGATAAATATTAACCTATACTGCTGTATACTTCAACCCTGAGGCAATTCCATGCGTGCTGCTTTGTCGGCTGAAAGCGAATTAATCTTGTAGGGACTATCAACGGCAGTGTGTTTTGGACCACTATCCCGCTGCCACCTTTTCTGTGAAATTCCTGAAGCAACAACACAATGAAAGTCACATGTGAACTGGAAGCCAACTGAGTGTATAAACCTGACTGACCTGAGAAAAATTCACGCGATCATTAAAAAAAAGAACAGAATCTCAACTGAATTCCGCAAGAACTGAAACGATATAGCTTTTCCTTTTAGGAAGGTTTTGTGATCAGTATATGTCATTTCCAATCAAATACCCGAGGTCTTCACTTTCGAGATACGTACTGCGAAAAGGTTGGAAAACTTTTACAGGGTACATGGTAGTGATAGAATAATCCTTTAGGTTACTTATCCACGCCCACACTCTCGCCAATAATTACCGAAAATTGTCGGGTTTTTCTAGACTACGAGTAGCTGCAAAAAACAGCTATTAAACTCAGTTGCCATTATGTCAATTTTTCATAACCCACAGTATCAAACTGTGATGTTCAGCTCATGTTTTCCTCCTTTAAATTGTGAAGAAAAGGCACTTCACTCTGATTGCAATAAGTGTGGACGGAATTAACGGTTTTTTGCCTAGGAATCTCAATAACTTGCAAAGGGTACATTAACGCCGATGACG